AGGTGGCTGCAGCTGCGCTTTAGCAAAACTACACCCAGAGATGAAAAGTTGTCTGTGGCTTTGTCTGATCTGATCCTCACGTCCCCCTCTCCTGTCTGTCCAAACGCTCGGGCGTCAAACTCACAAACAAACCCTCAGACTCAGAGGTTTCTGTGCGTCTCTCTACACCATGGTTTTAATGATCCCCATTTGATTTTGATTGACAGGTCATTAAGAGTCAGTGTTTTGTTCCTGGTGATAAAGAGACACTGACTCAGGACCATATAAGTCATGTTTATTTACGTAGCGCTGTCACTGACCATAGACTATAAAAAATATTGGACGTAGTCACGCCTATCGCCGCCGTTCTAACTAATAGGCCAAAAATGATGCTCTACTGGAGCTATCCAAAACGGCCGCGAGTGGTCCCGCCCACAAGAAAATTGTGAAAAAACACATCTGCGCATGCGTCAGCCGTAGAGAGCTCCATTCATTTGAACGAGAGACTTCTAAAGTCCACAGCGACTAAACTAGACTGGTCCAGAACACTCAGCATTGACACACATGTGGAACGGAGCTTTGGGCCAAGAGACAACTTTTGGTCCATCCTGTAAAGACGTTTTCCAGAGGTCTGCTAACGCTATATGTTAGCATTGGCTAATTCTACTTCTGGGTCCACCCCCACAGGCCCGGGGTGGTACTGCAGCATGTCAGCGCACGTCATTTTGGACACTTTTAAGCCGGGACCCGCCCCCACTGTCACAGACCAGAGTCACAGACCAGAGTCACAGAGCAGAGTCACAGAGCAGAGTCACAGAGCAGAGTCACAGAGCAGTGTCACAGACCAGAGTCACAGAGCAGAGTCACAGAGCAGAGTCACAGAGCAGAGTCACAGAGCAGAGTCACAGAGCAGTGTCACAGACCAGAGTCACAGAGCAGAGTCACAGAGCAGAGTCACAGAGCAGAGTCACAGAGCAGAGTCACAGAGCAGAGTCACAGAGCAGAGTCACAGAGCAGAGTCACAGAGCAGAGTCACAGAGCAGAGTCACAGAGCAGAGTCACAGAGCAGAGTCACAGAGCAGAGTCACAGAGCAGAGTCACAGACCAGAGTCACAGACCAGAGTCACAGACCAGAGTCACAGACCAGAGTCACAGACCAGAGTCACAGAGCAGAGTCACAGAGCAGAGTCACAGAGCACTTTGTCTCTCGCTCCACACAGAGATGGAGCAAGTCGCTGCACCGACATGGCGCCGTAAAGATGGCGCCGTGGCAAGAGCTCTGGTGTGTGTCGTCTTCTCTGTCTGGTGCACACCGGGGTAGTCTTGCACAGTTTTTCCAATGTGGTTTTACTGCAAATGGCAAATAAATGAATCTGAATCTGACAAGTGGTTAGGGAAACCGGAGTACCTGGAGGAAACCAGAGCAGACACAGGGAGAACATGCAAACCACACAGAAAGACCTGGAGCTGGAATCGAACGCAGAACCCAGGACCATAAACAGACCCGCCCTTCAAAATCAGTGTAGAACTCTGAGTATGTGTGTTATTGTGTGTTATTGTGTGCTATTGTGTAATGTTGTGTTTTGTTGTGTGTTGTTGTGTGTTATTGTGTGTTATTGTGTGTTATTGTGTGGTATTGTGTGCTATTGTGTGATACTGTGTGTTATTGTGTGTTATTGTGTGTTGTTGTGTGTTGTTGTGTGTTATTGTGTGTTATTGTGTGTTATTGTGTGTTGTTGTGTGTTATTGTGTGTTATTGTGTGTTGTTGTGTGTTATTGTGTGTTACTCACAGGAGTAGGTCCAGAAAAACAAAGCGATTAATATTCAACACTTTTTCATTTCCTCGACTCTGGGTTTGTTTGTTTTCAAATGATCTCCTCCAATAATCCATAAACATGGAACAGAAGGAGTCCATCTGTGTGTGTGTGTGTCTGTGTGTGTGTGTGTGTGTGTGTGGGTCTGTGCGTGTGTGTGTGTGTGTGTGTGTGTGTGTGTGTGTGTGTGGGTCTGTGTGTGTCTGTGTGTGTCTGTGTGTGTCTGTGTGTCTGTGTGTGTGTGTGTGTGTGTGTGTCTGTGTGTGTGTGTGTCTGTGTGTGTGTGTCTGTGTGTGTGTGTGTGTGTCTGTGTGTGTGTGTGTGTGTAGGTGTGTGTGTGTGTGTTTCTACCATGTGCCTCTGTGCGGCTGCTGATTTTTTGGTTGTGGAAACTGCAGGTGTGCGGCTGAACCCGGGGGTGGAAAACCATCCTCCGGGGGCAACATTTCCATGATGTGGAGGACAGGACTGTTTTCATGCTGTTACTTTAATGAATCTGGCAACGCATAATGTGGCTGTAAGCACTGGAGTCTGAGCACAGGGACTGGCCTCCTGCTGGAACTCTGAGGAGCACAGGGACTGGCCTCCTGCTGGGACTCTGAGGAGCACAGGGACTGGCCTCCTGCTGGGACTCTGAGGAGCACAGGGACTGGACTCCTGCTGGGACTCTGAGGAGCACAGGGACTGGACTCCTGCTGGGACTCTGAGGAGCACAGGGACTGGCCTCCTGCTGGAACTCTGAGGAGCACAGGGACTGGCCTCCTGCTGGGACTCTGAGGAGCACAGGGACTGGACTCCTGCTGGGACTCTGAGGAGCACAGGGACTGGACTCCTGCTGGGACTCTGAGGAGCACAGGGGACTGGACTCCTGCTGGGACTCTGAGGAGCACAGGGACTGGACTCCTGCTGGGACTCTGAGGAGCACAGGGACTGGCCTCCTGCTGGGACTCTGAGGAGCACAGGGACTGGACTCCTGCTGGGACTCTGAGGAGCACAGGGACTGTCCTCCTGCTGGGACTTTGAGGATCACAGGGACGGGGCTCCTGCTGGGACTCTGAGGAGCACAGGGACTGGCCTCCTGCTGGGACTCTGAGGAGCACAGGGACTGGACTCCTGCTGGGACTCTGAGGAGCACAGGGACTGGACTCCTGCTGGGACTCTGAGGAGCACAGGGACTGGCCTCCTGCTGGAACTCTGAGGAGCACAGGGACTGGCCTCCTGCTGGGACTCTGAGGAGCACAGGGACTGGACTCCTGCTGGGACTCTGAGGAGCACAGGGACTGGACTCCTGCTGGGACTCTGAGGAGCACAGGGACTGGACTCCTGCTGGGACTCTGAGGAGCACAGGGACTGGCCTCCTGCTGGGACTCTGAGGAGCACAGGGACTGGACTCCTGCTGGGACTCTGAGGAGCACAGGGACTGGCCTCCTGCTGGGACTCTGAGGAGCACAGGGACTGTCTTCCTGCTGGGACTCTGAGGAGCACAGGGACTGGCCTCCTGCTGGGACTCTGAGGAGCACAGGGACTGTCCTCCTGCTGGGACTTTGAGGATCACAGGGACGGGGCTCCTGCTGGGACTCTGAGGAGCACAGGGACTGGCCTCCTGCTGGGACTCTGAGGAGCACAGGGACTGGACTCCTGCTGGGACTCTGAGGAGCACAGGGAGTTTACATGTTCTCCCTGTGTCTGCATAGGTTTCCTCCAAGTGCTCCGGTTTCCTCCAGGTGCTCCGGTTTCTCCTACCACTAAATACATGGACATCCTACTGAATGTAGAGCCTCCTCCTGCTGAATGTAGAGCATCCTCTTGATGAATGTAGAGCCTCCTCCTGATGAATGTAGAGCCTCCTCCTGCTGAATGTAGAGCATCCTCTTGATGAATGTAGAGCCTCCTCCTGATGAATGTTGAGCCTCCTCCTGATGAATGTAGAGCATCCTCCTGCTGAATGTAGATCCTCCTCCTGATGAATGTAGAGCCTCCTCCTGATGAATGTAGATCCTCCTCCTGCTGAATGTAGATCCTCCTCCTGATGAATGTAGATCCTCCTCCTGCTGAATGTAGATCCTCCTCCTGATGAATGTAGAGCCTCCTCCTGATGAATGTAGATCCTCCTCCTGCTGAATGTAGATCCTCCTCCTGATGAATGTAGAGCCTCCTCCTGATGAATGTAGATCCTCCTCCTGCTGAATGTAGAGCCTCCTTCTGCTGAATGTAGAGCCTCCTCCTGCTGAATGTAGAGCCTCCTCCTGCTGAATGTAGAGCCTCCTTCTGCTGAATGTAGAGCCTCCTCCTGCTGAATGTAGAGCCTCCTTCTGCTGAATGTAGAGCCTCCTGCTGAAAGTAGAGAATCCTCCTGCTGAATGTAGAGCCTCCTGCTGAATGTGGAGCCTCCTCCTGCTGAATTTAGAGCCTCGTCCTGCTGAATGTAGAGCCTCCTGCTGAAACTAGAGCCTCCTCTTGCTGAAAGTAGAGCCTCCTGCTGAAAGTAGAGCCTCCTCCTGCTGAATGTGGAGCCTCCTGCTGAATGTGGAGCCTCCTGCTGAATGTGGAGCCTCCTCCTGCTGAATGTAGAGCCTCCTGCTGAATGTGGAACCTCCTGCTGAATGTGGAACCTCCTGCTGAATGTAGAGCCTCCTGATGAATGTGGAACCTCCTGCTGAATTTGGAGCCTCCTGATGAATGTGGAACCTCCTGCTGAATGTAGAGCCTCCTGCTGAATGTGGAGCCTCCTGCTGAATGTAGAGCCTCCTGCTGAATGTGGAGCCTCCTGCTGAATGTAGAGCCTCCTGCTGAATGTGGAGCCTCCTGCTGAATGTAGAGCCTCCTGCTGAATGTGGAGCCTCCTGCTGAATGTAGAGCCTCCTGCTGAATGTGGAGCCTCCTGCTGAATGTAGAGCCTCCTGCTGAATGTGGAGCCTCCTGCTGAATGTGGAGCCTCCTGCTGAATGTGGAACCTCCTGCTGAATGTGTTTCTCTCTGCTCAGTGTCAGTAGATCATGTGTGTGACGTGTGTGTGTGTCCTGAGTCTGTGTTTCTCTAAAGTGTGTCTGTGACATTGATATTTCTCACTGAGCGACAGACAAAGGTTTAACTTCACTTCTCTGAACTCAAAACATCATGTGATTCTACTGCCCTCAACCACAGCAGCAGCAGCAGCAGCAGCAGCAGCAGTAGCAGCAGCAGCAGCAGCAGCAGCAGCAGTAGCAACAGCAGCAGCAGCAGCAGCAGTAGCAGCAGCAGCAGCAGCAGCAGCAGCAGCAGCAGCAGCAGCAGCAGCAGCAGCAGCAGTAGCAGCAGCAGCAGCAGCAGTAGCAGCAGTAGCAGTAGCAGCAGCAGCAGTAGCAGTAGCAGCAGCAGCAGCAGCAGTAGTAGCAGTAGCAACAGCAGCAGCAGTAGCAGCAGCAGCAGCAGCAGCAGCAGCAGCAGTAGCAGCAGCAGCAGCAGCAGCAGTAGTAGCAGTAGCAACAGCAGCAGCAGCAGCAGCAGCAGCAGCAGCAGCAGCAGCAGTAATAGCAGCAGTAGCAGTAATAGCAGCAGTAGCAGTAGCGGTAGTAGTAGCAGCAGTAGTAGCAGTAGCAGCAGCAGCAGCAGCAGCAGCAATAGCAGCAGCAGTAGCAGTAGCGGTAGCAGTAGCAGCAGTAGCAGCAGTAGCAGTAGCAGTAGTAGTAGTAGCAGTAGCAGTAGCAGTAGCAGCAGTAGCAGTAGCAGCAGCAGTAGCAGCAGTAGCAGTAGCAGCAGCAGTAGCAGCAGCAGTAGCAGTAGTAGCAGCAGCAGCAGTAGTAGCAGTAGCAGCAGCAGTAGTAGCAGTAGTAGCAGCAGCAGTAGTAGCAGTAGTAGCAGTAGCAGCAGCAGCAGCAGCAGCAGCAGCAGTAGCAGTAGTAGCAGTAGTAGCAGTAGTAGCAGTAGCAGTAGACTTCAGGAACATGCAGCAGGGAGATAGGAACCACAGGGAAGAGGAAGAAGAGGAGGTTCCTGCTTACAGACAGAGACTAAAGCTCTCGAAACCTGCAGTGAGGAGCTCCAAAGTGTGGTCTGATGAAGCTGTGGAAGAGCTGCATGCATGGAATCTACAGACTGGGACCTTTTCAGAGCTGCCACAGATAGTTTGGATGAATACACGGACACTGTGACGTCATACATTCACTTCTGCGAGGATAGCATCATTCCAACAAGGACCAGGGTCATCTATAACAACGACAAACCCTGGTTCACTGCTAAACTCCGGCAGCTCAGGAAAGCAAAGGAGTCTGCTTTCAGGGAGGGGGACCGCAGCGGCTACAAAGCAGCTAAATATCAGTTCAGGAAAGAACTGAAAGCAGCCAAGTCCCGGCACAGAGAACGACTACAGGAGCAGTTTGGTAACAACGATACTGCTTCTGTCTGGAGGGGCCTACGGGAGATCACCAACTACAAACCCAAAGCCCCCCTGTGCTGACGACCACAAGCTAGCTGACGAACTGAACTTATTTTTCAGTCGCTTTGATGCTGCCCCTGACACCTCTCCCTCCCCCACCCCCCACTACTCTAACGACCCACCCATCAGCCCTGCCCCCAGCCTAACAATAGCCGCTAAAGATATTAAACAACTCTTCCTGAGGCTGCACCCCCGCAAAGCTCCTGGCCCGGACCACGTGTCTCCAGCCACTCTGAGACACTGCCCCAGTGAGCTTACTCCTGTGTTCACGGACATTTTCAACACCTCTCTGCAGTCCTGCCATGTCCCGGCCTGCTTCAAATCCTCCATCATTGTCCCCGTCCCGAAGAAGCCCAGGATCACAGGACTCAATGACTACAGACCTGTAGCACTTACGTCTGTCGTCATGAAGTCATTTGAACGCCTGGTTCTCTCCCATCTCAAGTCCTTCACCTCCCCCCTCCTGGACCCCCTGCAGTTCGCCTACAGAGCCAACAGATCTGTAGACAACGCCATCAACCTGGCCCTCCACCACATCCTACAGCACCTGGACTCCCCGGGGACCTACGCCAGGGTCCTGTTCGTGGACTTCAGCTCTGCCTTCAACACAATCCTGCCATCCCTGCTCCAGGACAAGCTCTCCCAGCTCAACGTGCCCGATTCCACCTGCAGGTGGATCACTGACTTCCTGACGGACAGGAAGCAGCGAGTGCGTCTGGGGAAGAATGTCTCGGACTCTGGGATTATAAATACAGGAGCCCCACAGGGCTGTGTTCTTTCTCCCCTGCTCTTCTCCCTGTACACCAACCACTGCACCTCCAGCCACGACTCCGTGAAGCTGATCAAGTTCACGGACGACACCACCCTCATTGGACTCATCTCCAACAACGATGAGTCCGCCTACAGGAGGGAGGTGGACCGGCTGGTGTCCTGGTGTCTCCTACAGGAGGGAGGTGGACCGGCTGGTGTCCTGGTGTCTCCTACAGGAGGGAGGTGGACCGGCTGGTGTCCTGGTGTCTCCTACAGGAGGGAGGTGGACCGGCTGGTGTCCTGGTGTCTCCTACAGGAGGGAGGTGGACCGGCTGGTGTCCTGGTGTCTCCTACAGGAGGGAGGTGGACCGGCTGGTGTCCTGGTGTCTCCTACAGGAGGGAGGTGGACCGGCTGGTGTCCTGGTGCAGTGGTAACAACCTGGAGCTGAACGCCCAGAAGACAGTGGAGATGATTGTGGACTTCAGGAAGAGCACTGTCCCCCCGCCCCCACCCTCCGTGATGGACTCCCCCATCACCTCTGTGGAGTCCTTCCGTTTCCTGGGCACCACCATCACCCAGGACCTCAAGTGGGAGCCGACCATCAGCTCCTCATCAAGAAGGCCCAGCAGAGGATGTACTTCCTGCGGCAGCTCAGGAAAGCCAAGCTGCAGTTCTACACGGCCACCATCGAGTCCATCCTCACCTCCTCCATCACCTCCTCCATCACCTCCTCCCTTACCTCCTCCATCACCGTGTGGTTCGCTGGAGCCACAGTCAGGGACAAACAGAGACTACAGTGCATTGTGCGCTCTGCAGAGGAAGTGATCGGCCGCAGCCTTCCATCGCTGCAGGACCTGTACGTCGCCCGAGCTCGAGGCCGGGCTGGTCGTATCACAGCCGACCCCTCTCACCTGCACATGGACTATTCCAACCACTCCCCTCTCACCTGCACATGGACTATTCCAACCACTCCCCTCTCACCTGCACATGGACTATTCCAACCACTCCCCTCTCACCTGCACATGGACTATTCCAACCACTCCCCTCTCACCTGCACATGGACTATTCCAACCACTCCCCTCAGGCAGGAGACTGCGGTCCATCAGGACTAGAACCTCACGCCACAAGAACAGTTTCTTCCCCTCTGCTGTTGGACTCTTGAACACTTCTTAACCTGTCCCCCCGCCCTTTATTATATTTTGGTTTTTATTTTTATGGGACTCAAAAAATGCCAGAACAGCGCCACCTACAACAGCCTATGGGAGTTTTGGAGGTCAAGTTTGTCGTAGAGCCATGAAATTTGGTACACATGTTCCTCAAGTGAAGACATGAAAAAAATATTATTATGGCTCCGCCCTCTGACAAACAGGAGGCCCATAAATTTCACTGAAAAAGGGACAAATGATCCGCAATAATTTTCATACATGTCGGTTGGAAAGCGACTCCTCCTCGGCCGTTTCACCGATTTGCCTCAAAATCGCTCCACATCATCTCAACACATGTATCTTCAAAATGACCTCAGGGAATTTTGATCAGTGAAATGAATCACTGCTCACTGCTCCTCCTGCTGCTCACTGCTCACAGCGGAGCGGTTCGGTGTGGCACGGTGCGGTGTGGCACGGTGCGGTGTGGCACGGTGCGGTGTGGCGCGGTGCAGTGCGGCGCGGTGCCGCGTGGTGTGGGGCGGCATGGTGCGGGGTGGCATGGTGCGGGGCGGTGCGGCGCGGTGCCGCGTGGTGTGGGGTGGCATGGTGCGGGGTGGTATGGTGCGGGGCGGTGCGGCGCGGGGAGGCGAGTCTTGCAGTGCGGGGAGTTGCAGGGGCGGCGAGGGCCGTTCGACGCCGCTTGCGGCATTAATTTATTCTTTATTTTTTATTATTTCTTTCTGACTGTTGCAATGAGCCAAAGCAATTTCCAAGTCTGTGACTTCTTGTTACTTACGTGGCAATAAAAATATTCTGATTCTGATTCTGAGAAGAGGAGAAGGTGGGAGAGGGAGAGGGAGAGGAGGAGGAGGAGGAGGAGGAGGAGGAGGGAGAGGAGGAGGAGGAGAGGAGGGTGGCCATGAGTCTGGTCTCCAGCACTGTCCTTCATCCAAAACTCAGACACAAACACTGACAGAACCAGGAAGACCCAGACCACACACAGACCACGCCCAGACCACAGACCAGTTACGATCAGCGAGAGTTGGCGTGAGGTGGGAGCAGTTCTGCACAGAGACTATTATTAACATGATCATTCCTGGTATTGACCATAAACAGTTATTATTAAGACGGACTTTCCTCTGGAAATGTGCCACAGACATGTTCAGGTTCAAATGAACCAAGAACCAGTTTTGGACCTGGCTGTAACGACTGCCGTTGTTAGAATTCAACGGATAATTCTGTTTCCGAGTGAGATTTAGACCTTTAGAGCCAGGACTGGCCCAGACCGGCCCAGACACGTGCTGTTGTATTTATTCACAGAGCTATAATAAACTCCAAACTGCTCCATGTGGAGCTGAGCTGCTTCTGTTCAACAGTAGTTTATGATCATGTGACATCACCTGTCTGCCTCCATGTGTGGCTGGCTCATATGCACTAACTGTTGTTTGATTGTTCTCCTCGTTCTTCAGCTTCAGACTCAAACGTTGTTCCTGAATCAAGTAGAAACTGCCTCGAGGCGAGTGCGGCTCCGACAGACCCCTGCAAAGACTGCTGCTCTTATTCAGAAAGTCATGTGAGCCGCACGGGGGAGTCTATACCTCAGGGGGGGGGGAGAGAAAGGAGAGAGAGGGTGGAGTCTATACCTCAGCAGACTCAGAGAGAGGGGGGGGGGGGGGAGAGGGGAGAGAGAGGAGAGAGAGGGTGGAGTCTATACCTCAGCAGACTCAGAGAGGGGGGGGGGGGGGGGGGGGGGAGAGGAGAGAGAGGGGTGGAGTCTATACCTCAGCAGACTCAGAGAGAGGGGGGGGGGGGGGAGAGGGGAGAGAGAGGAGAGAGAGGGTGGAGTCTATACCTCAGCAGACTCAGAGAGGGGGGGGGGGGGGGGGGGGAGAGAGGAGAGAGAGGGTGGAGTCTATACCTCAGCAGACTCAGAGAGAAGGGGGGGGGAGAGAGAGGTGGGGGGGGAGAGAGAGAGGAGGGGGGGAGAGGGGAGAGAGAGGAGAGAGAGGGGGGGGGGGAGAGGGTGTAGTAGGGAGGGGTCAGTCTCTCAGTTTGGTTCCTGTATGATGGTTTTTGTATGATGGTTCCTGTATGATGGTTCCTGGTTGATGGTTCCTGTATGATGGTTCCTGGTTGATGGTTCCTAGTTGATGGTTCATGTTTAATGGATCCTGTATGATGGTTCCTGGTTAATGGTTCCTGTATGATGGTTCCTGGTTGATGGTTCATGTATGATGGTTCCTGGTTAATGGTTCCTGTATGATGGTTCCTGGTTGATGGTTCCTGTATGATGGTTCCTGGTTGATGGTTCCTAGTTGATGGTTCATGTTTAATGGATCCTGTATGATGGTTCCTGGTTAATGGTTCCTGTATGATGGTTCCTGGTTGATGGTTCATGTATGATGGTTCCTGGTTAATGGTTCCTGTATGATGGTTCCTGGTTGATGGTTCCTGTATGATAGTTCCTGTATGATAGTTCCTGTATGATTGTTCCTGGTTGATGGTTCCTGTATGATGGTTCCGGTTTGATGGTTCCTGGTTGATGGTTCCTGTATGATGGTTTCTGGTTGATGGTTCCTGGTTGATGGTTCCTGTATGATTGTTCCTGGTTGATGGTTCCTGTATGATGGTTCCTGGTTGATGGTTTCTGGTTGATGGTTCCTGGTTGATGGTTCCTGTATGATTGTTCCTGGTTGATGGTTCCTGTATGATGGCTCCTGGTTGATGGTTCCTGTATGATTGTTCCTGGTTGATGGTTCCTGTATGATGGTTCCGGTTTGATGGTTCCTGGTTGATGGTTCCTGTATGATGGTTTCTGGTTGATGGTTCCTGGTTGATGGTTCCTGTATGATTGTTCCTGGTTGATGGTTCCTGTATGATGGCTCCTGGTTGATGGTTCCTGTATGATTGTTCCTGGTTGATTGTTCCTGGTTGATGGTTCCTGTATGATTGTTCCTGGTTGATGGTTCCTGTATGATGGTTCCTGGTTGATGGTTCCTGTATGATTGTTCCTGGTTGATGGTTCCTGTATGATGGCTCCTGGTTGATGGTTCCTGTATGATGGTTTCTGTTTGATGGTTCCTGGTTGATGGTTCCTGTATGATTGTTCCTGGTTGATGGTTCCTGTATGATGGCTCCTGGTTGATGGTTCCTGTATGATGGTTCCTCTATGATGGTTCCTGTATGATTGTTCCTGGTTGATGGTTCCTGTATGATGGTTTCTGGTTGATGGTTCCTGGTTGATGGTTCCTGGTTGATGGTTCCTGTATGATGGCTCCTGGTTGATGGTTCCTGTATGATGGTTCCTCTATGATGGTTCCTGTATAATTGTTCCTGGTTGATGGTTCCTGTATGATGGTTCCGGTTTGATGGTTCCTGGTTGATGGTTCCTGTATGATGGTTTCTGGTTGATGGTTCCTGGTTGATGGTTCCTGTATGATTGTTCCTGGTTGATGGTTCCTGTATGATGGTTCCTGTTTGATGGTTCCTGGTTGATGGTTTCTGGTTGATGGTTCCTGGTTGATGGTTCCTGGTTGATGGTTTCTGGTTGATGGTTCCTGTATGATGGTTTCTGGTTGATGGTTCCTGGTTGATGGTTCTTCTCGGGGAAACATCTGAGCTTTACTTTAGTCTCATGATGTTCATGAGTTTAGTTCCAGCTTCAGAACAGTTCCACTCACTGTGGCTGACACCAATGGTCTATTGTCTGATGTGTTTGTGTGTGTGTGTATCTGTGTGTGTGTGTGTGTATCTGTGTGTTTATCTGTGTGTGTGTGTGTGTGTGTGTGTTTGTGTATCTGTGTGTGTGTGTGTGTGTGTGTATCTGTGTGTTTATCTGTGTGTGTCTGTGAGTGTGTGTTTGTGAGTGTTTGTCTGTGTTTCTCTGTCTGTGTGTTGTGTAGCTGAACATGACCACATGTGTTACCTCTGACCAAGTGGCACTGATGTCTCTAATGCTTGTGTGTGTGTGTGTGTGTGTGTGTGTGTGTTTGTGTTGTGTTCCGAGGGTGAGGTGAGGTAAGGCACAGCAGCCAATCTAACGCGGCACAATTAGGTTACACTGGCTCTATCTCTCTCTTCTATCTCTCTTCTATCTCTCTCTGTGTCGGAATCTCGCCCTCAGCCAGCGGCAACGCGGTAGGGTAGCGCGGCAGAGGCAGCGCGGCAGAGGTAGCGCGGCAGAATAGCGCGGCAGAGGAGCGCGGCAGAATAGCGCGGCAGAGGAGCGCGGCAGAATAGCGCGGCAGAGGAGCGCGGCAGAGGAGCGCGACAGAGGAGCGCGGCAGAGACCTCCCGTCATCATGGAGCAGAGATTCAGTAAGTGCCGCTCTGCACCGTCCCTCCATCACATCAAATATTCTTTAAAGTTCGCGTTTGCAATTATTTTCCTCCAAAAAATGTGTTTTGTTTTATTGTTGAGAACTTTGAAACCTCTCTCTGGTCTCTTTCTAGTCTCCCTCTGGTCTTTCTCTGGTCTCTCTCTCTGGTCTCTCTCTGGTCTCTCTCTGGTCTCCCTCTGGTCTCCCTCTGGTCTCTCTCTGGTCTCCCTCTGGTCTCTCTCTGGTCTCTCTCTGGTCTCTCTCTGGTCTCTCTCTCTGGTCTCTCTCTGGTCTCTCTCTGGTCTCTCTCTCTGGTCTCTCTCTGGTCTCTCTCTGGTCTCTCTCTGGTCTCTCTCTCTGGTCTCTCTCTGGTCTCTCTCTGGTCTCTCTCTGGTCTCTCTCTCTGGTCTCTCTCTGGTCTCTCTCTGGTCTCTCTCTGGTCTCTCTCTGATCTCTCTCTGGTCTCTCTCTGGTCTCTCTCTATGGTCTCTCTCTCTGGTCTCTCTCTCTGGTCTCTCTCTGGTCTCTCTCTCTGGTCTCTCTCTGGTCTCTCTCTGGTCTCTCTCTGGTCTCTCTCTGGTCTCTCTCTGGTCTCTCTCTGGTCTCTCTCTGGTCTCTCTCTCTGGTCTCTCTCTGGTCTCTCTCTGGTCTCTCTCTGGTCTCTCTCTGATCTCTCTCTGGTCTCTCTCTGGTCTCTCTCTATGGTCTCTCTCTCTGGTCTCTCTCTCTGGTCTCTCTCTGGTCTCTCTCTGGTCTCTCTCAGCTCCTCACTGTATGAGTTAAACATTTGAAAACAAACTGTATAGATATGAATCCCTGATGGTTTCACTGAAGGATCTTATGTCTGTGTCTGTGTGTGTCTGTGTGTGTGTGTGTGTGTGTGTGTGTGTGTGTGTGTGTGTGTGTGTGTGTGTGTGTGTGTGTCTGTGTGTGTGTGTCTGTATGTCTGTGTGTGTCTGTGTGTGTGTCTGTGTGTGTCTGTGTGTCTGTGTCTGTGTGTGTGTGTGTCTGTGTGTGTGTCTGTGTGTGTCTGTGTGTGTGTCTGTGTGTGTCTGTGTGTCTGTGTCTGTGTGTGTGTGTGTGTGTGTGTGTGTGTCTGTGTGTCTGTGTGTGTGTGTGTGTGTGTGTGTGTGTGTGTGTCTGTGTGTCTGTGTGTCTGTGTGTCTGTGTGTGTCTGTGTGTGTCTGTGTGTGTCTGTAAGTGTGTGTGTGTCTGTGTGTGTGTCTGTGTGTTTGTGTGTGTGTGTCTGTGTGTGTATTTGTGTCTGTGTGTGTCTGTCTGTGTGTGCGTGTGTGTGTGTGTGTGTGTGTGTTGGTGTGTCTGTGTGTGTGTGTGTGTCTGTAAGTGTGTGTGTGTCCGTGTGTGTGTGTGTCTGTATGTCTGTGTCTGTGTGTGTGTCTGTGTGTGTCTGTGTGTGTGTGTGTGTGTCTGTATGTCTGTGTCTGTGTGTGTGTCTGTGTGTGTGTGTGTCTGTGTGTGTGTGTGTGTGTGTGTCTGTGTGTGTGTGTGTATTTGTGTCTGTGTGTGTGTGTGTGTGTGTGTGTGTGTGTGTGTGTGTGTGTGTGTGTGTGTTGGTGTGTGCTCTCTGAGTTTTTCGTTCCTGTGTTTGAACTGTGTGATTCTCTGATCTTCTGTTGGCGAATCGACAACTTTGTAAAGTCCTCAGAGAAGCTGCTGCTGTGGAGGAGGAGGGCTGTGGCACGATGCACAAGCTGAGAGCAGAGAGCACAGGAAAGAGCTGCGGCAATCACACAGACACCATCACAGACACCATCAACACAGACACCATCAGCACAGACACTATCACAGACACCATCAGACACCATCACAGACACCATCACAGACACCATCGCAGACACCATCACAGACACCATCAACACAGACACCATCAGCACAGACACTATCACAGACACCATCAGAGACCTTTACAGGCACCATCACAGACACCATCACAGGCACCATCGCAGACACCATCACAGACACCATCAACACAGACACCATCAGCACAGACACTATCAGCACAAACACCATCAACACAGACACCATCAGCACAGACACTATCACAGACACAATCACAGGCACCATCGCAGACACCATCACAGACACCATCACAGACACCATCAACACAAACACCATCACAGACACCATCAGCACAGACACTATTAGCACAGACACTATCACAGACACCATCAGACACCATCACAGACACCATCACAGGCACCATCGCAGACACCATCACAACACCATCACAACACCATCAGTCACCATCACAGACACCATCAGACACCATCACAGACACCATCAGACACCATCACAGACACCATCAACACAGAGACCATCACAGACACCATCAACACAGACACCATCACAGACACCATCAGCACAGACACCATCACAGACACCATCAGACACCATCACAGACACCATCACTGGCACCATCGCAGACACCATCACAGACACCATCAGTCACCATCACAGACACCATCAGACACTATCAGACACCATAACAGACACCATCAGCACAGACACTATCACAGACACCATCAGACACCATCACAGACACCATCAGTCACCATC